CCGACACGCCCTAATAGCCTGCCTCAGCCTGCCCATGATGAGTTCAGAGCCAGACTTGGAAGTATCGTTGGTCCCTACGTGAAGGACCACCGACACTTCCTCGGCACACCACCGATCCGATCCTATTCCTAATGTGTTCAATCCTAGCACCGGGAAACTGACTGAAAGAAACTTGAGCTCCTGAATCTTTTTTCATTGCTCCCTCAAGACGCCTGACGTTCGAGTCACCGACGATTACAAGTATACAAGATTACAAGATCCCTCTCCCTTTCTACGCGGCCTGAGCTTGTCCTGCCGACTTCACACCTGTTCCCCCTCCGCTCTCCGTTCCCTCATCCAAGCTGACCTCAACCCGAGAAACTTGTTTTCAGTCTTAATGACTGCCTCCTGGGATCAGCCCTGTTTCGACTAGAGGAAATTCCCGGGAAATGTAATTTTTCATTACCTGTCTCATTAGATGTCTAACCCTTCTGGCCCAACAGCATTTTTAAGGCCCAGGAACACGCCCTGAGGGAATGGGAGACCCTTTTCGCACCTCGTTTCAGTTTCTCAGGTCGGCTGTTTCACTGGATACTTGCTCTTCGATTTTTGCATAATGGTTTGATAGCATGTTACTTTCGAATAGTTCTAAGAGACCATGTTATTTCTAAGACAGTATATGGAAACACAATGAGTTCTCTTCGCCAGTATAATTTTATTTTTGGTTAATTTCATGTAAAAAATAAGGTAGAGGTAAATAATGACCTTTCAGTTTTTCCTCTTTGTTCTGTATCTGCTTTTCAGGCAGGCTTGTTGTTTCTCGCTGCCCAATCTAATATCGATTGAACATTGTGCTCCTTGAATAGTTTCAATAAAGCTTCAGTTTCGTGGACTTCCCAGCGAGTGCACAAGGACATGACGCACACACTCACACAGGACTAGTAGGAGGGTAGACGTTGAGTAGAGGAGACACACTCTCTCGGGCCCGGGCCAAGTGGTTCGACTAGGTAAAAGCCCGGGCCTGGGCCGGCTCGAGCCGAAACGCCTGAGGCAAAAAAGAGGGCCCGGGTCGAGTGTTTCGACTTGGCCCTCCTTTTCCCGGGAATCTCTTCTAGTCGAAACAAGGCTTAACCGCTTAACCTTCGTCCCCTTTACGACCTGAGCCCAATTACTTGCCACCTGGGAGTCGGCACTCGACGCGCTGTCAAAGGACGAAAGGGCCACCCTCCTAGTAAATGCCGGAAGGCTGGGGAACCCCCCCGAGTGCCTCCTCCACCCTAACTAGCCTCGTCACTAAATCATCCCTCTGTATCTCGCCCACCTCCTTCCTGATCCCTCTTATCCCCTCCTCCACGCTAATGAGCCTTCCCGATAGCTCCCCTAGTCGCTCCTCCAGCTACAAACTCTGCATACCTGGCATACCTCTCATTCACTAGTCCCACCTACCCAATCCCCGCACCGAACGCATCTATACATCCTAGGGTTCTTACTTACTTAATGCTATTGATCCCTATTGACACTACTACTGCTTTAGACTTATACTTTGCAGTACTTCACATTAGTTGTAACCCGGTAAGACTGTACTGTCCTAGTCCATGTAGTAAAAGGAATACCATGAGTAATGCGCTAATAATTAAAGTAATTAAGCTGATTGATACTGATCTAATGTAAATTTGGAGGTAGCTATCAGAAAACTTATGAATAATGCTACAAAGTAACCAGGTAACAACTAATTCACGACTTAGCTGACAGAACCTCCAGAGTATCCTCCAACACGTCCTCACACAACGAACGCTCGACCAAGACTGAACAAGACTGTATCGTTTACATGTATTTGCAAATTTTGACAGGGATATGTACAATGTCAGCAATTAGCTTGAAATTTTATTAAAATGTTTAAGTTTGAGAAATTATGATTATGCTGGCCTGAGTGACTTGAAGACATATATTAATTATAGTTACTTATTTCTACTGATTTCAGGAATCATATCGCTTCCCTTAGACATTCCTGAGACGAGATGAGCTTGCTCAGCGCCATATGAAACTGACGAAAAATTCGGTATTGCTCTTATTGGCATCTCACTTTCCCTTTTGTTATAATGATATCTAGATATATCACGCATGAAAGAAACATGTATGACTTTCAGGAAGGGGTACGTGTACAGCCTAACATTCATTGAAGGACGCTGGCGATTTGGGTCATATTCCAGTTTGCATTAGAGGTGGTGATAGTGTTACAACTTCCAAATTCCTTGACTGCAGGATTTGGGGAAACTAAGCAAACTAAACGCTAAGAAAATCTCTGACTTGTCTGGCTATTTGCATATAATAATTTTGCATCCGAGGATTATAATCTTGAGAAACTTATGACTTCTTCCTCAAGAACGCAGTTTCCTTCAGTTCCGGCTAATTTTATTCTTCCGCTCCTTCGCTCCCTCTCAGATAAACCGGTTCCTCGCAGTTCGTGAATCAATCTCTCAACAATACAACAATAGGCCTACATTTCTTTCATCCTTTACCTGGAAATTCTTGCAAAATTCTGCCCCATCCTTTCGCAAAGAGCAGCATTTTCATGAGGATTTGGAGGAGCTCTGGCCCGATAATCTGTGAGCTCCACGCTTATCAACTGCCCTTCCGCTGATACGTTTCTTTGTGCAAAAAAAAAAATTTCAGTTGCCTTCGCGTTTTCGCTCCTGTGCTAAAACGGCTGGAGAAAAACGAACAATAATTTTAGGACATTTCAAGAATACGTAGAAGTCGTTGCTAAAAAATTTGCTGTGCTGTTATATCTCATGAATTCCAAAGAATCTCAATGAGCGCTTTTTTTTCTTCTCACCCGGTATTTGTTCATTCTCCACAGAGGGTACTTCTACGAAGTTGTGGCAGGCCAACACATCATAGCCGCGAAGAAGGAAATCTACGAGGAGACCGCCATGGAGAAAGATAGGTGCATGTGTGCAGTCTACATGGGCGTTACAGAGGAGGAAAAGATGGACCTTGCACTGCACAACGCCACGCTGGAAGCGATTCCGTTCAATGTCCTTGATGTTGTAAGCCTTGCTCTCGCGTCATAGCCCTTTCCATCCAGTCTCTCCAGAAGTCATTCATTTACATATTGTTCTATTTTCCCGCGGAATTGCAGTTGCAGAAGTACCAAGATGCTGAGGAGAACTCGTCTGACATCCTACAATCATTCAGGACTGTTTTAAAGTGAGCTTAACTCGTTTTCCTGTTCTTTTAGACATTTCTGACAGGATGAGAGAAGTACAAAGACAATGGTAGTACTATACGCAGATATTTGCATTGTAAAAGTTCCTTTTGAGACACTTCCCTCAGAAGTGCTTTTTTCTTTCTCGTTTTAAAATGAACAGTTCATTTATATTGGAAATCATGGAAGTCATAGTTCCTTAAATTAACTTTTTTCACATATATATATTGCAGCTGAATCATTGTTTACTAAGTATTATCCGATGTCTCCAGATATTTCCGGAAGAGAGATGTACAGGGTTAAGTAAAATTCATGTATTTTTAAATATGTATCTCCGTCAAAGCTTATAGGCAAATCCTAGTTTTAAAAAAAATAAGCACGACCATGGTGATTATCTGCAGCAGTTTTACTCGCAAGGGAACGATCAGCACTGAATTAACAATGGAAGTGAGTCTTGAAAGCGAACAAAAAATCATGAAATCACAAATGGCAATGACTTAATTATTGGGAACTATCCCGCTGGGTTGTTATTTGTGGCATGTATTTTGATGTCATTCTGTATCATACAAGTGCAAAATAATTTAATTCTGTGAAATGAAATGCTCCCGAAGGACGAGATGAAACATCGAGTTTTGTAGCATCTGGTGAGGATGGGATCCGAGGTGGTGAAGAGATTTTTGGACGTGGCTAGAAGCATGGAGAATGAGTATCGAGGAAGCGTCGAGAAGAAGCTGCATCACCTTCGGGGGATTTTCGGAAACCCTCATCTCACCACCACTGATTTTCTTTTTGGTTGTATTCCAAGGTTGTATTCCTTAAAGCTCTGTAATCGATATCATGGTACCCTAGTACGAGCTTATGTATCAAATTTCATTAAGATCGCTGAACTTCTTGGTCGTAATTTTTTTTAGCCATGAGAGTATACGAGGCTTGTATGAAAAGTCATGCGTGTTCCGCAATAAAAATTTGCATATTGCGCGCACGCGAAAAATTCCTACAAATTCTGAAAGCCCCATCAAAGAGGAACGCAACGATGTATAACATAGGCTGGTTGCTAATATGCAAATGTAACAGTCGTGGGAGAAACAGAGGCAGGTAGCGGCAGTTTCCCGATGAGTACTTTTAAAAGGAAAAGAATGCTTCATAAGTTGAGAAATGGAGCAGAGAAATGCCATTTTGTTTTCGTTTCGACGGGGAAATTCGGNAGGGCGATTGAGACGGCTTTCACATGTCCGATTTTTTTTTTAAGAAAATAAAAAGAATTTCTTGGAAATCGGGAAATGTAATTTACATGTCTCTGTGTAACAATTTTTTTCCGGTGATTCGGGAGGGTTTGGAACACATTCCGCATATCGTTGTGTTCCTATTTGACGGGGCTTTCAGAATTTGTAGGAATTTTTCGCGTGCGCGCAATATGCAAATTTTTATTGCGGAACACGCATGACTTTTCATACAAGCCTCGTAGTGTAATTTGCATAAGTTGGAACCCTTCGGCAGATGTGCTTATTTCGAGACAGTACATAGTCCATCTCCATAACTCGATATTCAAAATATTGTGGATCACATCTTGCCGCATCGTTTCTCGGGTGGGGAGGGCGAATCGGGGAATCATTTGTCATATCTTGTCATGTAGAACCAGGAGCATGGAAGAACCCCTCATTTCCCCGAGCTGAGGCTGTGGAGACCGGAAAATTGAGCTTTTTCTGAAATTCTCACAACTTCCGCGGATCATGTTTTACCACAAACACTTTTTTCAGCTTCCTGTTCGACTTTTTCTTGTTTGTAAGCCAATCAAGCGGTTATTCTAGTGCTGCGTGAAAATTAGACTTTGGTGATCCCTTCTTTTATCGCATAGACCATGAACAAGAAGACAGTGTCGAATTTCGGAGTACATCAAGATTGTGTTCTTGATTTCAATATAGCGTCGAAAAAGAAGGAGCCTAATTTCGACACAATATCGACGTTACTGGAAAATTCGAAAAAATGGAGGAAATTTTTGGAAATTCAACTTCCACCAAGAGAACCAAAGCTTCAGAGAACTACCAAAAAATGTATTTTCATGAAAGATGTTGTCCTTGTCTGCCGTTTTAGGATGACATTCATCATAAGCCAACATAGGAAAACTTGCATGATGCTATTCTTTCAGGGGTTCTAGATTATTTTCTAAAGATTCCCTTTGAAAAATTTTTCAGGAATTACATTTTTTTTTCTCCCTGCAGTCATGCATATACGAAAAAACCTATTGAAATGTCCTCTGCCCATTCCCAAAAAGGCTCCCAGGATCCCATACGCCAGTACGGGATCCTGGGAGCCTTTTTTCCTGGGAGCCTGGGAGCCTTCTTTCCTGGGAACCACAAATATTTGTTCGAAATCATTCTTAGTATAACAAATGTATATCAACTTTCAGCATTCTATCATGCCAGGAACCAGGGTCGCTCTGAGGGGTGAGGGGCAATTGGGGCAATCTGCCACGGGTCCCACGAATCAAGGGGTCCCAAAGGGGGCCTCCAAAGGGCCTAACGGAGTCTCTGGTTTAGTTTGCCCCAGCCCCTGGAAACCTCTGCGTGGCCCTGCCAGGAACTTTTGCATAGAACAGTAAGGAGGCTGTTAGAATCAAGGTAGGTAGAATATAAGGTAGTCTTAGCTCAGCTGGTTGCTTTTCAGTAGCTGCCGCTCATGACGTCACCGTGGAAGGATCAGGTAGCCATGTTCGTGAGGTCGCCTTCATGTGAAGTCCAACAGCTAACCTTTTTCTCATCCTATCAATTTCTTTTGCATTAATTCTGAATTTATTACTGTTATTTCGTAGGTTCCACTTTTCCCCAGTGGTTTGGCCACGTAAGTCGGCCATCTGTAATAAACATACCAAGTACGTACGCCTATGCTGTGGCAATCAACCTGAAACTGATGGGTTTCGGGGCAGCATACATTTACTGTGTGATTTACTCTGTGTATTTAATGGTAAGTAAAATGAAAAATCTGCAGGATTGAATTATGTGCGAGGGAGCTTTACATGCTTAGCTGACACGTAGCTTCAGCAAGCTCCAATTTAAGAATGAGACTGCTTGCTTCTTGCCATCCATTCCTCTATCAGCAATCATGTTTTTTTATTCGTAGGAGATTCCACTTCTCTAAATTTTTAATTTCAGTCAAAGTAAGACTCATTGGATCAAGTACAAAAGGGTTGATATATGAAGCAAAATATATTCGACATGTAATGTTGGAATTCATCTAAGTCAGTAACTAGTACTACATTTCCACGGATTAACCTTTATCGGACGAATTTAAATCTCTCGCGTAAGCGCTGACAGCCACATATTTTCTACAAAGCTCATACATTCTTGTTAACTGAGGAATTACTCATTTAATATCAGAGCCTTTTTTCCTCCAAAAAAGTTACGGTAAGCATTTGTACCTTTTAGGCCATGGAAAAATGCATTCTGTGAAACACAGCAGTTGCGACGTTCGTGCGATAAAGGCTAATAATTATGGGCATGTATAGCTGGAAGCATCTGCAAAAAAGGTATTGAAACTGAGATGTAAGAAAAAATCATCAAAGTATATTAAATCCGACTGGATAAAATGAAACCAAGACTTTCATAGGTGACTTATGAGGTTTAGAATATGAAAATAATGGTTGGATCCAATCAGACCAAAGATGACCTTTGCCCCTCCTTCATTTTCTTAAGGTGGTGCCTTCTGTCATCAATGTTCCTGTTGAAGAACTTGACCCTAATGAATGTCCTTGTACGAGCATATTGCAGTATCGCTCTTGATTCCACAGAAGGGAATGTTGATTGGAGATCAGCTTCACGATTCTTAGATTCTTGATTATAACTTTCCCCTTGGTGATTCCTGCTCCATACTCTGCTGCAAAGGTTCCCTCAAACTGTTTTATCAGGTTCAACCAGTCATTAGTAGGTGTACACATAACCTTTGAATGTACAGCTGCTGGATCCAGGTTTTCCTCCTTTCACTGCTGTCATCAAAGCTTGCTATTCCCTTATTGCCCATGGTTGTAACTCCCATGCTTTCCTTCCTGCGCGCAATAACAACGCAATAACCTCATGGTCTGGCCTAGGTCTACGAATAATCGTTGATAATTCTCGTATGTGATCCTGCATAGCAACGTGCACGAATCACTCAACTGGACATGCGCGGAAAATCTCGTCATACAGGTCACTCCCACTCGACTTCACGGTGACGTGTGCGCAGAAATGCGAAAAATTCGTCCACCACTGCGCTTCGAGCTGAGACTACCTTACATTCTATCTACCTTGGTTAGATTGCCTGAAAAGTTTCCCTTCCAAGTATAACTTCCGACAATACCTTTCGCATCTATGGGCGGCGTCTTTTTCTCCAGCCGCTAGCAGCTGTTGGCGAAAGAGACGCATTGGTTAGGCACGACCTCTTCATTGAATGACGTCACTATTGTGCAAGCAGCTGCGAGCGAAACATAGCGAACTCTGAGAACGCTGAGCTGCTAAGAATTAAAATAACGTCATCGGATGCTGGGGGCCTCAATAGAGCTCGCAGAGCCTCTATCAAAATAGACACGCCCCTGGTCTCATGATGCACGAAGTTCCGCCATTGCCTCCAATGCCTTCGATATTTCGTCTTTCCGTGCTTCCAATGCCTTCGATATTTCGTCTTTCCGTGCTTCCAATGCCTTACGATGATGTCATTTTGTCAACGTCATTTTGTCTCTCCCCCGGAGATCTGCACGGGTGAACTTTTCCTAACTCGACCCGATCAGCCCGATTCGAGTCGTGGTCCTGCCCGATTCGAATCGTGGTCCTATCCGACCCGAATTTGATCGCCAGACCGAGCTTTGCGGACCGCTCCCGCTGGTCATGTTAGGACGATCATGCCGGCTCGCAGCCCGCTCAGGCCTCTAAGCTTTAGAACTCGGAGTCTCTGGGGTCGTCCTTTTTCTGAAAGGCTCTGCTGCCTCTGCTGACGCTTCGAGCTATCTCATGACGTCACGTTCGTACTGGGCTGTTCAGGGCTCTCATAGCTCGCGACGTTCCGTTGCCAGCTGTTTGCCTGAGAG